CCGATAAAATCCGATACTCGTTTTTTGGCTGATCTCGGACCGATATCAATATCGGATCGGGACACCCCTAATCACAAATATACGACTTAGCGCTCCTGGATGCTGCATTTAGTTCTTTTGTTTGCACCTTTTGTTGTTGAGAATTAAAATAAACAAGCAAAAGCTTCTCACCACTGCAACGTTTCAGTACAGTACTTTATCTGTAGCTGTCTGATGTTGCAAACTTACTGGAGGTGTTGAGCACGCCCAGGTTTTATTTTAGACTTTTTGTGCAGCTGAAGTAAATGCAAACTGTTTAGTACATCATAAATGTCAAAAGTTTCAGTAATAACTCATTCACACTTTTTTAAAAAGTATTTTTGCAATAGCGTGTAATTAGAGGGGTAATTGGAGGCCTTAAAGTCTTACTTGATTAACTAGACGGAAAGAAATTACAGCGTAACAGCTAAATCAAATAAATATTACTTTAAATACAACTTCTACTAAAGTATTTTTATTCTTGCATGTGTTAAAACCAAGAGAATGTATTTGTCCTCACTGGATATATTCATTTACGAGAAGTTTTCAGTTGGGGAGGAAAAGGAATGTCTTTTTCCTGAATAGTCTATCCATTAGTTGTGGGGACGTTTCCAAAACCACAAATCACGGTTCCATCCTCGGATTTATCTTCACGATGCTGTAAATATCTGTCAAGAAATTCTTAGCGGTCTATCCGTTTCACCGTGGACCGAAGTGGTGAACCAAGCAACGAGGAGTCTCTGGAACCCCGTTGCTTGAAGCTTAGTCGAACATCTTGGCAGGCTGTTTGAAGGCTGCCAGYGCTTCCAGGTTTCCCGTAGCGGCTTCTCCATCTGATGAGAGCACTGCCTGTCTGTGTGAGATCTGCACACTCACCACCACGTCGCCTGTCAGGAACCCATATGCTTTCTGTTCGAACTTTTTAAAAGAGGAAAGGAAATGAGGAAATGCAACCCAGCGCTCCTCCACATGCGCCGAGCGTCCCTCGGTCTCAGGAAGTATTTAACATGCATTATGAAACCAATCAGCTTTTCAATGGGCRCTCTCATTCACATTATACTGATGAAATTCAAAGCAGAAGGCTTGAATGAGTCATTTTTGTCGAGTTGTGACAGATGTGACTCGAGTACGCCACTCATTTTTCAAAGAAAACCCATCTACATCTCCAGCCATTGATGCAGCAGCTGCTATAGCAACAGACCCTTGAATTAAGGCTACGTAGATTATTATGGGATGACTCACACACCCGCAACGCCAGACCACTTTTATTACATATACCGTCTTTAAGTCAGAAGTTTATTTACAAAGTACTCTGTATATGTTTTACAGTGGAACAGACTTCAAACTTGTGTGTGTATGTTTTAATACACACATTTAGACACTTGTTCTGTATGTACTCATGCACTCATGATGTATAAGTTAACATTTACGGTATCCGAGTGCTTTTCCAGGAGTTAGTTCAAGGCAGTTTATATGCATTATTGATTGAAATAAAATATGTAAGCAAACTTCTTCAGCATGATCCAAGCTTTCTAGACAGGCTAAAAAAGGTAAATAATTGATACCGTCTTTGCTCAGAATGTATTATTTTTTAAATCTGTGGTRCTTTCACTTTCCTGCTCAATAAATGTGTGCAAGTTTCAATAAACCAGAACCTGATTTGCCTAGCTTCTTTTATTCTGCTTCAGAGTGGCTGTACTGCTGAGATCTCTCTGCACAGTGCATTTGTGTTGGTACCAATAAAAGACTAGGAATTTTTCCTACCGATGTGACTTATTTCATTGTGTTTCGATGCAACAATGCTGAGTTTTCTAGACTGGTTTTGATTTTTGTAAAGCTTTAACTTGACAATTTTGAATTTAGTCGATTACAGATTTTCTTCTTCTAAGAACTGTAATTACCATGAAAGCAACACAGAATATGAAGAGTTTTCATTTTGTTTTTAATCTTAAAAAATGTGCCATCTTCAATTAGCTGCTGGTTAGTGGTGCATTCTTAGGATAAAATATCAGGTTTTTGATTGCTACTCAGTTGTGGTGCATTCAATGACTGAATAAACAAACTTACTTTTTTATGTTTGATCATCTTTGGCGTATATATTTCCTGAGCCATCTTTTTGCCCAGCTTTAGATCAAACTTTTCCTCTCTCCTCTCCTTCACCACAAAGCAATCAAAAAGCTGCTTTTATCCCACTTTGACACTACTGCTATAGTTTCACTTTTCAGAAAGCGATTAGCTTTAGCTCTGTACTGAATGTGGTAACAGCCTGACTGATGTTGAATCACTCTGCCCAGTGATTCAACAATATATGCTTGTTGTTTGAAAGCACGTTGGGAGGCACACGGTAATGTTTGTGAATTAGTGATTTTTTTTTCCAAACCTCTTTAACAGATTAATAAAATGATTAGCTTTTTTTTCAGTGCTGTCTCCAAAAAGGCAAGATCATGGTGTAGCACCGTTTTTTTATTTTTCATTTTTCTCTTTAAAATAATTATTGTAGCAATATATAACAGTAATATCTTAATGTGTATGAATGAATGGTTTTTGTCAAAAATTAAGATTTTCTGAAAATGCATTAAAAAGCAGTTCTTAAAACATCTTAAGGTACAACTGACTTAACTGAATGTGATGGTTGTAAAACCATCCTGGTTTGGTGCCTTTTTGTGACATTTAGCAACTTGTTTTCGGATCTTTCAGACATTTCAAATGGATGTAGTTGGTGATCAAATGTAAATATTAAAGGGATATTTCCACAACTTTTTGACACCTTATTTAACAGGGGTCAAGCTTTTTGAGTTTTTCTGCTTTTTAAACTACTGGAACACTGTTGCTGTCAACCAGGAAGCTTTCAAACTCTTTCTGTAAAATCTCAAAGCCAAAAAGTTCCCCCATTTTTCATTTTATTGGCTTATTTCCCCTGGTAGGTACAAACTGAGTTAAATCTCCAATAAAGTGTTGGATTTGTTACAAAATATTGTGGCTTTCTAGTTCACTCATCCAACTTAGACATTTTTTGCAAATTAGCAATAAAAGTAAAGTAAGTAAAAGTTTATTTATATAGCGCCTTTCACAGAAAATGATTTCACAAGGTGCTGWACATCCATTATCAGATTGAAAAAGCAAATATATCACAATTWCTGTACAGTTAAAACATTCAGAGTTAACCAAATTAACGGCATCAATCTCTAGTTAATTAAGTCATGTTTGATTCAGAAAAGGAAGATAACCAATGCAGTTGGATATAAGATYGGTTTCAATATTTGAAACAAAAACAAAAAGAAATTAAATTAGTCTTTCACCCTTATAGGTGTAGAGGATGGATATTAGACCGGAATAACACATTTGTTAGTCAGGGCTTATGAACTCAAGTTGTGAGGTGTAGAATATATTCAGTTGAATGCTTGAGTGAAAAGGTGTGTTAAAAGGTAGAGTTGGATTACTTTTTTGAAATGCACCACACCGAGAGGTCCGAATATTCAAGTGTCCATAACTGCAATAGAAACATCTGAATTAAAAAAGTCTAACATTAAAGTTTTTGTTGCCTGTTTTTGTTCTGCTGGAAGTTGAGCTCTGTAAGTGKTTTTTTTTTCAGTGACTTGCTGTTGGCTTTGAACTATTTTTTTTTCCTAAGAAGGAAAAACCCTTGTGCTGTGAAGCTTGGCAACACAACCTCAGATATTTTTGGTTTTGATCACATGTTTATCTGGTCAGTTTGAAGGAACTATTTCAAATTTTTTCCTTCGTTCTGTAAACCTTCAACCATTTAATTTAATTTCAACAAATGTATTAGTTGTATCGCACCTTGTGTTTCCGAATGAGTTGACTTAACCAGTAATAAATATGTGCTCCTACTAGGGTTGGGCATAATCRTATCGTGTGCAATTAATCGTCAGAAAAACATTAATCGATTTACTTTTTGGCACTTGACGATTAATATGATTAATGCCACCATCAGTCCGCTCGGTGCTCTTCTCTGCTTCAAATATGACAAACGTTAAAAAGAAAAAGTTCTGTAATTTAATTATCTATCAACACAATTTAAATATTGCTGTAAAGCCTGATTTTGACACAGTTTGGAACAGATTTTTACAAAGAGCAAATCTTTCCTACTAAATTGGTCATTTGACTAGGGCATGCAGTGGTCCAGGGACTCCAGGGGATTAATCGTCAAATTAATCGTTATYGGCTAAATACCACAGTTAATCGTGATTAATTTTTTTGCCAATAATGCCCAACCCTAGCTCCTACATTTTATTTGTTTGCACCTACTGTATGTCTGATGTATCTCTTCTGTGCTTTAGTCATATACAATTATTTTTTTACTTCTTAAAAGTGTACCAAATCTTGACTAATGCCTCTTTTTTTTTCACTCTGTTGGCTGTTGTTCTGCAGGTTTGGATGTACCCCCTCCTTTAGTGGTGACAGAGGTGTGAGGCAGCGAGACTCGCACCGAACACCTCCCCGGCAGCCATGCCGCCGCCGGCAGACATCGTTAAGGTGGCCATTGAGTGGCCTGGGGCGTTCCCCAAGCTCATGGAGATAGACCAGGTACTTGCCTAAACCCAACATCACTATCTTTTAAATCAACCTAGATGAAGCTCTAACCCAACTTTACCGTCTTTCAGATGTATGTTTTGTCTGAACTCATTAGCGCAGATTAATGTGATGTCATGGAGATAATGAAGACGCTCAGTGGCGCTGGGCGGATGTGATCAGGGTATGATGCAGCTTCTGCGTTGTTCCCAACAATTAATCTAATTAGCCTAAAGGAAGTGCCCTTAATTAAAGATGTTTAACAAGTAACAGAGCTACACAAACACAGCCTCAGCCGACTGATGAGTGAGGCTTTTGATTAAACAAGATGAAGACGTCAGATTTTAAAGTGTTTCCTGACATGTAGATCATTGAGTTGTCAAACAGACYTGTGCACAGGTTTGGGTTCTGATAACAGGTCCATGTTGGATCCGGTAGAAAGCTTTCCACCTTTCCTCAATCRTCAAAAACAACAAATAACATAATGTACCGCTTTGATATTATCATCRAGTAGGTCCAGGTTTAATTCTAAGTTTTCTCTGATTAATTTTCTAACATAGTTTAGCAGTGCTCGGCGAATGAGTGCTTGTAATTAAACTTCATTTATGTAGCACCTTTCTAGTCTTTCTGCTGCTCTGTGTGATTTACTGTATGAGTTTAATTAACCCATTCACTTGCATATCCCTCTCGTCCACCCACTCGTACATGGCTGAGCACACTGAGAGCACGTGGAAAAATCGCAGCCAAGGACGTGTTGATATGTAGACTGGTGAAGTCGAGAATCTGCGGTGTCACGTGTGACTAAATAAAACCAACAAGAGGTGTTGTCTTTTTTCTGAAGAACAAACATGTTTGCTAATAATTGTTGAATGTGTAATTTTAATGACTAGATTTTTCACTTGTCTCTTATGGAGATGGAGTTTAATATTTATTTATTCAACAATTAAATAGATTTTTTATTTTTATCATTTATTTCTTAGTGGGATTTGGTGAAAATAAGTTTGCTGATATGCAAAAAGCAGCTAATTATGGTTAGGGTTACTTATTCATGAACTTATGACAACTGATGATATGATCCCCCACACACACACACACACACATGACTCCCAACCATCCTGTGTGGTGGTGTAATGGTCAGCATCTCCAGAAATACAGAATAACAGACTAATAAAATAATTAGCTCAAATAATGACTGCCTCATGTATGGAGGACATGTTTGCTGTCTGATTGCACATACACTGTGTCAAATGGCCTTTTCTCTGTGTGTGTGTGTGTGTGGGGGGGGGGGGGGGGGAGGTTTTTGCTACATTGTGGGAACCATTTTCCAGAGAAAGGCAGCCTTGTGGGGACCGATGCCCCATCCCCACAGGTACACAAGCTAATTTTGGGTGTGGGGGTTAGGGTTAGGACGAAGGTGTGAACTGAGTTTAGGCTAGTTTTAATGTCAGGACCTGTGAGGTTAATTCTAGGGTAAATGGTCAGGGTTAGGCTATGAAGTTATCAAAAAATGAAAGGAAGTCAATCTGCGGTCCCCACCGGCATTAAAAAAACAAGCCTCTGTGTGTGTCTGACTCACAGCTGGGCTAATTACAGTACAAGCTATGAGTCACTGAGGCAACTGGAGCTACAAATTGCCCTTCTCATTGGATAACTCCATGAATGGAGCATTGAGCAACAGAGAACATGTGTTTTGGGTCGCTCTCCGTCGCACATTTTAGGGACTTTTCTGTGTCACGACCCTTTATCCACCTTATCAATTCCAAATTATGATCTGCCCTGAGTTTAATCAGGCCCAGTTTACCCGACATGTTTTTGGGTGAATTCGTAGCATTTCTGCTGCGGTTCAGCTGTTTGTGCAAACGACCGCTATTGTTTCCTTTGAAACTCGAAGCTTTTTGAATCCAAGACTGAGTGGAGGTTTTTGGAAACCCCCCATCCAGAGAGGAAGCATCAGTAGAAAACTTTCATCAGATTGAAATGTATTCAGGTTAAATCAGGGGTGGGCAATCCTGGCCCTCGAGGGCCGCAGCCCTACAGGTTTTATGTTTTTCCCTGCTCCAGCACACCTGATTCAGGCATTGAATTATAAAGTTCTGCAGTATGGAGGACTGACACTGACAACTAGAAAAAAAACAGAAGTATGTAAATGGGCCAATAAATAAATTCAATTAAAAATGCGCCAATTAAATTTAAAAAAGAGAGCTTTACCTCACGTTTTATAATTTAATAGACCTTCATATTTATTTTCCAACTTAGTTCCTACTAATAATATATTTTTGCACATAATTTACATTTTACTGTTTTTTAATATATAATTATATATAATCTATAATTATATATAATATAAATAAAATTCTCCTTTTTTGCTTATATTGGTGCAATTTAAGTTTATTTATTTATTAGTCAATTTATATATTTCCACTTTTATTTTTAATTATGTCAGTTTCAGTCCTCCATACTGCAAAAGCCTGATAATCACCCATTCATTCAAATCAGGTGTGTTTGAGCAGAGAAAAAAGTAAAACATGCAGGGCTGCGGCCCTCGAGGACCATGATTGTCCACTCCTGGGTTAAATAATCCGAATGTATCGTTTACATGGGTACAAAGTGAATTAATGCCATCATGACAACTGTTTACATGCACCAGGATTTTATATAGGATAGAGATGTGCAGAGTTATAAACGTTTCCTTTAAAAAAAAACACAGAAGTTCTAATTCCGTGATGAACATAAACAAATGTTCTGTGTCAGAATGGACCCATGCCAGGTTTTAGTAATGGCAGAGACGTTACTTCACTACGTGTTTCTACACTTTTGACCACTGAGGCGTTTGATAATTTTGAGCTCTTTAAAAGTTTCTAATAGAAATGTTGTATCGCTAACAGACCAGTTGTGCTTCCCCAACATATTAGGTTCTAGCCAGGTGGAAATAGGTCAGGTTGAAATCAGGAAGTGTTTACATACAGTTTGGATTATTAATGGCACAAACCATCTCTGTCATTAGATAACAAATTAATTCACGCTGAATCAGAATGTTTAAAKTGTTTTTTTTTTATTCCGATTGGATAACTTATGTCCATGTAAACATAGTTTGTGTTGCCAGATATACGATAAATACCATGGGGATTGCAGGTTCTTTCCTATCTGGCAACCCTGCCAGGCACGGAGACTGCAGCAGATTCAAAGAGCACAGCAATATTCATATGAAGGTGTTTATTCTTGTTTATCCATCATGTGTAAACAGACCCTCAGTTTTGCTTCTTGACTTTTTTTTGAAGCCACCTGTCCTCATGTCGTCCTCCTCCGCTCTGTTTCCATCTCTTATCTGTCACTGTCCCTTTGTCCACCTTTCTGTTTTCCCCTCCTCCCTCATTCATGTTCACTCCTCCTCCCTTCATTGTGTTCTGAGCATAAAACTTGCGCTGTGCCTCTTCTTCTCTTGTCCCCCCTCCCCACCCAACCACCAGCCCCCTCCTCTCTGTACAATAGGCCCTGCAGTAGCATACGGCTGTCTGAGTCATACGAGGAGGAGTGGGCTTCTGCTGCTTGACTTGTCTTGAGACCCAGAGAAAGATTGTTTCTCTTGTTGTTCATGTCTGAGCGGGGGTGTGGGTGAATGTAAATGTGTTTTTCATGTAGGTGTGTTTGCGCGGCAACATGCATTCTTGTTACTGTTCATACTTAACATGTCTGTGCTTGTTCTGTTTGTGTTTTGGTTCTGCTTCTGTATTTGCTATGCAGTTCAGTTTGATTAAAATCAAGTTAAATATACTGTATTACCCCCCAGAGGGAAATTATTTGGTTACAGCAATCCTTAGATAAAATAAAAGTAAAAAATAAATGTAAAACTTGAAAAAAAAAGCATTTTCTTCAACGTTTCAGTATGAATGGTGAGTTCAGAATGACTTTGCTGAAGAAGCTAAAACTCAGCTGTTAAGCTAAAGAAACTGACGACTACCTAAAAGCAATAAAACACTAGCTTAATGCAAAAAGAAAAAGAACACTAGCTAAAAGAAGCTAAACGGCGACAAGTTAGCATAACACTAGCTAACAGCTAAAAGAAACAGAAGAGTTGCAAAAATAGTACAAGGCTAGCTAAAAAGTAAAGGTAATAGAATATAAGCTACAAACTATAAGTAACTTAAGAAATTAAAACAGAAAATATAAAGGAGCAGATTTCCAAGAGAACAAAGCTTTTAAAGGAATTAAAATGATCTTAATGTATTTAATGTGTCGTGACGTGAAACTGGAGACAAAAACAAAGATTTATAAAATGTTTATGTAAAAATTTGCAGCCTTTTTATAATGTACAGGGGTCAGATTTATAAAGCTTGCGTAYGCACAAAATGAGCCCAGAAACTTGCGTACGCCACTTTTCACGCAAAGGTTGTGATTTATAAAATCCAAACTTGACGTGAAAATGTGCGGTGCCTCACGCCAGCTTTGACCCATGCGTACGCTCATTTTGGAGATGGGAAACTGCGACACAGATGGTGAAGTGAGGAAATAGTCACACTGTGTAATGATCACTGTCAGAGATTTGATTTACCTTCATAATCAAACTTAGATTTTAGATTGACTTYAGCTTTCTTAACAGTATTATTTATGATGCTGCGCCATAAGGACCTTTGAAATAAAAAACTTAAATCTTAAAAGTTCACACATCTTCATCTGTCTCCTTCCTCCTCAGACGACCCTGACCCACAGACCCCACCCCGATGAGATATTTCAACAGTACGACAGCAAAAAGCTGTTATCTGTCCATCTGTTATGCTTTAGGTGCGCGCACCCTCGCCAATGTGGATGTGTTATAAAAGATTCACTTTTTAAAGTCCATATTTCTCACGTGTACGCGGGATGGGTTGGGGGTGGGGGGTGAGGAGACGGTCAGCCGCAGATAACAGAGCAGGCAGGAGGGGGAGGACGAAGGAGAAGAGTGGTGAACTTATTTCTAACTTTATCTGACTTATTTAATTTATTTATTGTTTTTATCGTCCTGCAGGCTCTGAGAGAAAATAAAATTGAAGCAGAGGTTTTGAAGAAAATTGTTAGATTAAATGTTTGTAAACCTGCAAAATGAGGGAAAATCTGTGTCAATTACAGACATTCTGTTCACGTGAGCAGTTGTCAGCACCTGTCATCCTCCAGACGCACAACGGAGCGCGTCGGAGCCGACCAATCACTTTTTTTGACATTGATCAACTGACTGATTTAAAAACATTCATGAGGTACTTTGCATTGACTATGTATGGTTGAGGCGTGGAGAGGGTAGAACCTGAGGTGGGACCTTGTGCGCAAACTCTGAGGTGCAGCTGTGATTTATAAAGGAAAGATGCGCAGAAACAAGCGTACGTACGGTTTTATAAATCTGAATTWTTTTTGGCRTACGCCATTTTCSCCTTTTGGCCGTAYGTTCACTTTTAGTATGRTTTCACGCAGTCCTTTAAAAATCTGACCCCTGATCTGTAAAGCTGCCCAACTTACTGCAGGCTGAACTGTTGTTTTTGTCTGAGATAATGGGTCAAGTGAGGGAAAAGCCCAGTGCCATCAAGCTGTAAGAGCAAATCCTAATCTGTTGTAAAGYCAGACGTAAGTTCTCCTTGTTTTGTGAAACAAGGATAGTAGTCTAGCTGAATTACTCATTTATTTAAAATGAGCCTAATTGTTGTTSAAGTTGGCTGTTTTTAAATCCGAATCAGTGCTGAGTGGGAGTCATTACGAGTGCAGACAAAAGTAAAAGTTGGTTTTCTGCCATTTTGAGTCAAAGGTCCAATAGAGAAACAAAAAAAGTTTACTTTTTGAGGAAGTAAGAACTGTTCAGAACATTTTACTAAAAACAAAACAAGCAGTGATACTCGGATATTTGTGTGAAGATTTGATTTGATTGTTTTCAAAATAAAATATTCCAGTTCCTGATCTTTTCCTAAATAACTACATTTTAATTAGTTGTTTTGACAGGAACTGGAAAGAAGATATTCTGATTATATTCTGGTTTATAAGCTGCACAGTGTAGTATGGTTAATCACTCCCACATTACACCCCTCCTACTCTCGTGTTTTCCAATCATTGTTTCTGGAGTTCACCAGCCGGCGTGTTTCAGACGTTTCCCTCTGTCCACACACCTGATTTGATAGGAATGAATTATTTCAAGAGGTTGTCATCAAGTTCTGCAGAAACCTGTAAATAATATCTAAATGTGGTGAGTTGAGGCAGAAGCACAGAGGCACCGGGGTTGGGGGAAACATGTTGGTGCTGCATGTTGCAAACTCTGAAATAACACAGCTCATTACTCCAATTTCCACTTTAACCTCAAACCCGTGCCTGGTTTTTATCAGCTCGCAGGTCTCTGCTTGAGCCRAGGCCATACATCATAAACATCAAGTACTCCAGGTAGCTTAATTCAATTRTGGCTTGCTCCAAATATGACCTCATTCCAGTTAAARTAATCAGAACAGACTGCTTGAACAGTACTTCAGTTTTATCAACAAGAAGTTAAAGAGACTCGATGTCATTTTAACAACAAAAAGGTAATTAAAAACAAATGAAGACCACAGGTCTCCCCTAATCAAGTCCATTTAAAGTGTTCTGCTGCAGAGCTGAAAACAGTTCTGGTTGAATTTAAAACCATTTTCAAGTGTAAAGATCCTCTTCATTTTTTACTCCCTCCTTCCCTAACTTCAGTTTTATTCCTCCCATGAGCTTTACTTGTTTCCCACACTTTTTGTTGTTTTTCKTGCCTCTCTTTTGTTCACACAGCAGCCTACCCCTTTCATTCTGCCACCTCCCTCCTTTTTCTTTCCTTGTCAAACATGCCCACCATTCTGCCACCTCTACTCTGTAAATCTTCATCACCGCAGCCCCTCCTCCCTGCCGCCGGCTCTCCAGAGATGCAGTCATACAAGAATGTCATTCAAATATGTTTTGATTTGAATATAAATTCTTATTCAACTCCTCTGCGTTTATTTAGTGTACATTGTGTGTGGACATAAAAAAACAAACCAGTTACTCAGACAAAAGTCTATTCTTGGTTATAAGTTCTGGTTGATTATWGGTCATTGCACATTAAGAAAATAGTTACAAGTGAAGAAAAACAAGGTGCAGCTAATATACACTGCTCAAAAAAAATCAAGGGAACACTTAAACAACGCATGCTAAGTCCAAGTAAATCAAACTTTTGTGAAGCACATTCAACTCTGTACAGAACAAAGTACTCAATACGAATATTTCATTGATTAAGATCGGGAGTTAGCGTGCTGTGCTTTTAAGTTCCAGCTGAAGGTAAAATAACCTTTTATTATATTGATGCAGGATTTTAATGTTTAATCACGAATTTCACATATTTTTGAACAGCAGCTATTAAGTTTGGAAAGGTCGTGACAAATCATTATTTTACAAATTGAAGCTCTGGCCTTATTGGTCAAAATTTACCTTTTTGTTTCTAAAATGAGGTTGTTTACAAATCTAACTACAGCATGTAAGATATTTACTCTGCATAACTTTTCCACAGTCCTCTACTAAGATCTGAACTATCTCTTTTAATGTTGGTGCATGTGATCTATTAGCATTTGAATGCTAAATGTGATCATTTAATTTTACATTTTATATTTACAATGCAGTAATGATGAAAAGAAGCTGTTTCAATTATAACTAGCAAACTGCTGCACCAGRAGAAGGGTAAAAAAATAGTTTTTTATTCTTCCAGTTCTGCAGTTAAAAGAAAAGATTGCAGCCCACTCTTAGCTGAGTGTTTTAGGATTTCATAGCTGGACTCTGGACTAAATGTAGTTTTGACTTTTATTCACAGAAAAAGCCTCTCTCAGCCATCATTAAAGAAGTGTGTGAGGGGTAAGTCTGCACAAATGCATGCCGTTTGCATTTAGAAGTGCTTTTCAAAGGCCGCTTGAAAAAAAAAAAAAAGAAACACCCCCTTTCTTTGCCTYTAAGCTTAAATCTTTATTGAAGATGTGCAGCTTTTAGTAGCTATTAGTAACGAGTGTTTTTTAATGCATTTGATTCCTTTCAGGTGGTCCTTGGGAAACCATGAAAACTTTGCTCTGCAGATTGCTGACGCCACAAATTTCTACATCACAGAAAAGGTTTGGTTATCGTTTTTTTGTTTGTTTGTTTTTTTGTTTTAACCGGCAGGAGAAAAATGATCCTAGAGCGCTCGCTAATCTCTTTTCACATGTTTGAAATCCTCCACAGAACCGCAACGACATCAAGAACGGCTCCATCCTGCGCCTAACCACCTCTCCTGTAGGTTTTCGATGTTGTGGGACACGGGAAAACGCATTTAGATCTTTTTTTTTAATGCTTCTTTTGTTGGAACTTTATCGGTTAACTCTGTCGCTCTTCACCCCGGCAGTACCAGACGGCCGTGCAGCTTCACGAACGGATCCAGTCGTCCAGCATGGATGCCAAGCTGGAGGCGTTGAAAGACTTGGCCAACGCGTCTCGGGACATCACCTTCGCGCAGGAGTTCATCAACCTGGACGGCATCTCGCTGCTCACTCAGATGGTGGAGAGTGGGACAGAGTAAGTCTGCTGCCTGTCCGCCTCGYTCTCTCAGCTGATGCAGTGATTTTCTTCCTTTTWCGTCKTCCTCAGCGTGATAAATGAGACATKTTTATCTTAGACGATGACTCAGTCCAAGCGATCCATCCAAATGTTGAATTTTGAAAATAAATCTAAACAAGAATATCGTTCCAAGTGTTCAAATTTAAATGGAACCCTGTAATTKAACGGCCTCAGTTTGTGGCTGCGGTATTTTCAGCATTTTCTCCCATCCCCGACGAAGCGGTGATTTCTGGTGCCGGTAACAGATTTATTCACAAGCAGCTGGGTGTTTAGGTGRAACTCAAACACTGACCTGAACCTCAGAGAGGATGAAAGGGGTTCTTGGAGTTGCGCTGTTCTTCCTGACGAGTTCAAAGCATTCAAACCCAACACACCCACCCAGGCCACAGCTGACTAACCACCAGACAGAGGAGCATTTTCCTCCTCACCCTTTACATAGCTCACATTCACTAAAGATTTATATCCTTCCTTATTTTTTTTTGTTTTGTTTTGTTTTTGTTTTTTGTTTTTTGTTTTGTCAGGAGCATAAAGTCTTCATCTATAAAACCTCTAATGCAGGGGCGGGCAACTGGAATCAGAGAAGGGGCCACAGTTTTTTATTGACACTWCCAGAGGGCCACATAGCGCCGTACACTTACTCAGATGTAATAAAACTGCCATTTTAAAAAGGTTTTCATATATATATGTTTATTAAACCAACATAGAGTGCAGTAACTTAACATATTTCATGCTCTAATGCATGTACAACAGTTGGACATTTGAAGCAAAAATAAAGTAACTTTAACGAGCAGAAGTTTAACAGCATAAGACACCTCGAGTTCAGACTCCTGCATGGTTCTGGTAAAAACTCGCTGTTTATATACGTACTTGAGACTTCAGTAAACTTTGCATATTTAGCTTTGTGCAACATGTCGTAGTGACTTATATTAAAACCCTTCATAGCAGACATTGTCTCTAAGCAGACTAAACACATAGGTTTGCATTGAAATTCTGTTAACAGATAATCTACCTCCCTAAAAAACATTTCAAGCACGGAAAAAAACACTCAAAGCTGCATTGGCAGGCCAGACAGAAGTCACCTCAGGCTGGATGTGGCCCACAAGCCRCCGGYTGCCCATCCCTGTTCTAATGRCAGCCCTGAAATCAGCTAAGTCTTCATGTGTTCTTAGTCTTACCCAATACAACAAGTCATTAAACTTTCATTTTTAAAGACATGAACTTAATAGTACTTTATCAATAGAAATATTTTCAACTTTCAAAAAAAAATACATTTGCTTTTACTTTGTACCTAATTGAAGAAAAAAAGTGTTTTACAAACTTGCTCCATGTTGCTCAAAAATACTAACCCTGGAAAATATCTTTGATAAAACACACGTAATTAAAACGGCCTGCGTGTTTTAAAGTTTCTGGTTGTGCAGGCTCAATCCACAGAACATTCTGAGGATTTTATTCAGGGATGGAAAAAGACTGACTGGTGTAAGTTAAACGCCTAGTGTTCCTTGAAATGAGCGAGTGTGTGTGTGTGTTTCAGTAGCACACTGTTAGTGTAAAAAGTCTAAACTAAAAAGAGAATTGTTGAAATGCAAATGTTCACACACACACCAACCAAGCTGGCAGCTCCAAAGCGAGCGAGCGAGACGTGCTCATTTTGTGCTTTCTCATCTTCAAGACTTGTTTGCATAATAAGTCTGTGCCACACTCGTGGGTTAAAAGCACAAAACCAAAATGTGCCCTTTACTACAGCACAGTGAAAACTCCAACATGTTTGGAAACAGCACGCTGCCAATCGCCACAAAGCAAACTGTTCTCTGGGCTTAAATCCTAAATGGAGCCATAATTTTATTCTGGGTCTATGATGTGGAGCTTCAGTTTGTCCTGTTCAGGTTCAAACTCCGGTCAGAAATGTATTGTTTTGTTTCCGGTMGTAACACCTTGATGGTTTTGTTCCTGATTGTTAGCCTCCAGCACCTTACACTCACATCTTATAAACAGGAAWCCATAAAAACCTCTTTATCTTTAAAAAAAAAAGTGTTCAAATGATCAAACATTTGACCCTGTTTAATTTTACTGCAGTGAGCTCAACTCCACTCCGCTCTCGGCTCTTTAGTTTCATACATTTTTATGTAAATGACCATCAGATCTGTTCGAGAGCTCTGCGTGTGCGAAGGAGAATGAGYAGTTCTGCTGCGTTTTTAACTCAATAAAAGAAGCTGATTAAACTCAGACGGGTAGAAAGGAATCACAAACACACTCATTAGTGCTCCTGCCAGCCACGCTGGTGAACTGTAAATATGCAAGAGACCCGGTGCTTGAGACTCCCGAGGGCTGAGCTGCTCTTTGATCTAACTCTTCTGCCAAAGAGGATGTGCTGCATTTATGTGGAAATGAATTAGAGGTTTGCTGCTGTCCGCCAGAGTCCAACCAGGGGAAAGCAGATACCGCCATCTACTGATAAGACATGGAACAGCATTTCCATAATATTTATATTTTTAAATGTCATTGGCTAAACCGTTAAACTTGACAAAATGTTTTTAGTTCTAACCTAAGATGTCAGCTATAATTGAATACTGATAACCAGTGAAAATAGATCTATCCATTTTTTTAACCTGCTTCTCTGATTTGTGGGAAGCTGGTGCCTGTCTCCAGCAGTCATTGTCCATCAAAGAGACAAACATCATTCACACCTGGGGTCAGTTTAGTTTTATCTGTTAATCCAACACGTTGTGCACCATTTGGTGATTGCTGGACCTAATGATGACCCGTGGAACAGGTCACTTCCTGGAGTGTAGGTGGGATGGACGCACCCACCGACAGACCACTCAAACCACCATTAAGGCTGGTTTGTACTTTAAGTCGTAYGTCTTGTTGCTGAGTAACAAAAAAATGGTGCAACTTCCATGTGTTGTCCCCCGGTGCATTGTGTACAGTGCGCGACGGTGTCTTCTGAATAAATGAAAATGATTTAACAGTTGTTTATACTTTTAGCAGCTCTTTTTATTCCACAGCTGACCTGCTAAAAATGACAGATTTTCTTTTCTGGATCTCTGACAGACAGACTTCAATCGCTGAACTCGTAAAGTTTTTCTTTTTAGTTTTCGCTGTCATTTTCATGAATGGACACTTCCTGATATCTGAGGCAGGAAAYAYAGCCTTATATGGTGTTTTTGGGGTGGTAATTATGCTAATCTCCTCTCGCGTGCACGAGCAGCTGGATACGAACAGGTGGAAATTATGCAGCTCATTTACACACTTTTCCTGAAGATAGAAGAGTTTGCAGCAGCAGCTGCGGACATGTAAGCGCTGGCTGTGAAGCAGGAGGAAAGGAGAGGGGGAAAAGTAACTTATTTCTAGAGGCAGAACAGGTTGGAAGATGGCTGTTTGATGTTATTTATTGTTTTTACATCATCCTATAGGCTCTGACATGTTAGATAAACATAGATAGTGTGTGTGTGTGTGTGTGTGTGTGTGTGTGTGTGTGTGTGTGTGTGTGTGTGTGTGTGTGTGTGTGTGGAGAGACAGAGACAGAGGGGGAGAGAGAGAGAGAGAGCAGCCAGCTCCTCTCCCCACCCGAGGCTGAATGAAAGTCAACAGACGATCATGCTAAGCTTGCTAACAGCTCCACCCTCTGACTGCTGCAGGGGCGTGTCTTAGAGAGAGGCTTTTATATGAGAGGACAGCCGCTGTGACGAAACTGTGGAGAACCACATCACCATGCAGAGCCGTTAACCAATATGCAAATTAGCCTGCAGTACCACTGCTCCACCCATGTGCGCAGCAAAAAGACGTTTTTAGACCAAATATTACAGATTTGAACAAATACACACAAAAACATCAAAATTAGCACAGAAACAGTACTATATAACATTTTAGACACATTCTAGACAGTTTATCAGCTAAAAAAAGTTAATTTTGGGGTAAGTTACTCTTTAAAAAACTGGGTCTGATTGATTCAGGTTTGACATTGATTGAAGCTCTTCAACTCCTTGAGGTTTTCAGTTGTTTTTCTGAAAACAGATTTTTTTTTTTCCTGTTGCTGTTTTTTTTTTTTACAGAAGTCCATGATCCACAAAACACTGTAAACTTTTTTATGTCTTTCTGCTAAATTACTTTCCTTTTGAACAAACTAAGACCTGATTATGTCTCTTGCTTTCTGTCTCATCTCTACTGGAGCACATATAACTGATGTTTTCAGTATTTCAGCAGGAATGTTTTGGGTTTTTATTGAACATGCTCACTTCTATTTAATGTAGAGGAGTGGGATCTCTTTCAGGGCTGATGACAGTTCAGATTCTGCTCTCTGCTGGCTAAAACTTTTATTTTCAGTGTGCTTCCCCTGTTTGACGTTAAAGTTTCTCTAATCTTTGCAGGCGCTATCAGAAACTTCAGAAAATTATGAAGCCGTGGTAAGTCCTCCCTTCTCCCGCTCCTCCTCACTCGACCGGGTAACGTCTTTGGCTCTTTTTAACCCCTGCCGGTCGAGTTTGCATGATGAAGACTCTCGCCGTTCCTCCTGGGAACCTTATCACAACCTTTTTGCAGGCTTCCGTTTTGAAATCAGTGTTGCGTTTTATTTTTCTTCTTGCATGTGGTCTTGGTTAACAGATTTTTTTTGAAAGACATAAGGAAGACCAAGATTTATTTCTAAAAATTAACACRCTAAAAAAATCTATTTGAAGGAGCTAAAAGCTAAAATTTAGATCTGTTAAATGTCAGTTGTGACCTTTAGTTAAATCTTGGTGTTCTTTATAAAATGGTGAGGGAGATGTCTGAGCTTCTTTTTAACCTGTTGGCTAATAACTTTCATCACCACAGGATCATCATCCTTCCTTCAAGGCTTTTTCCGTTTATTTGCCTGATCTCGTTTCTCGTCTTCTTCCTGTATTCTGTGATTTAATGTTGCTTTGTGTAKTTGGTCTAAATGCGCAGTATTGTCTGTAAAAGCCTCCTCGTTCTCCAGGCGGTTATTAATCTTTGTGACTGTTCACTAATCATCAGCCAAATACTGAYGCATGACATTTACTGCTTAGGTAAGAACATTTGTGAAGACAACTGAGGGGTTTTCTTGTAATTTAGGTTTCTTTGGTGAGCTGATTCTAAACCATGCAGATAAACTTACATTTTAAGGTCAATGTTATTTTAAACGCTTGTTTTTCTTTGTTTCAGCCATAAAACTTGTAAGGTTTAATGTGAGTGAAAACACTCGACATCCTGACATTCACATCTGACTGACTTGATGCAGCCCTCTATCAGTCTTTGTGTTTTTCCTAATGACACCAGGCAGAAATATTTCTCATTTATCACCTTCCTGGTGAAGGAGGGGAAGTGCTTCAAATACAGCCAGCATTAAAATATAAACATAAAACAGAACTGACAGACCAACCAGAAGAAAAACACATCTCTGAATAACTACCCTGCAGTGTCTCTTATGACCAGTAGAGGTCAGCATTGCAGAATCGTAGTAAAACCATCATTTTATAAATAGCAACACCTCCACAGTCCCCTCTACTTTCAAATCCACTTTATGAAACATTTTGTCTGATAACATAATTAACCTCAGCTTTTATTCTTACATTGAAAATGTTAAATCTTGGATAGATTCATGAGAAGTATCTGTTTACTGTTTCCTCTGTGGCTCTGAGTGAGTTATTTCTTCAGATATCTGTGTAACTGCATGACTTCACCTGGTTCTGTAGCTCTCTGCTCCTGACTGAACATCACCCGGCTTCTGCTGGCCTCCTGACGGCCCCTGCTGTTTGCTGACCTTCATCCTTTCTCTACACCTCAGACCTCCTGTTCCTCCTCTCATCTGCTTTGTTTTTATTTTGTGTTTCTGCAGCAATCCGGGTTGCAGCTTTGTGCTTCTATTCATCTTGTCTTTTCCCCTTTGCCACTTTTTCTTTTCCTTCTGCTGACTGTTGCATTTCGAGCCATCTGGGCTTTGCAGCTTTACGTCGCCCCGAGCCATTTGGTGGAGAAGAAGTTTCCTGTGGTTTGAGTTTGTGTGTTTGTTGTCCTCTAGCTTCGGTGACCTGCTCTCCTTCACTCTGACGGCCTTTGTTGAGCTGATGGATCATGGGATCATCTCCTGGGACACTTTCTCTGTGGCTTTCATCAAGAAGGTTAGCCTGAAAAAAAGTCACATTAAAGGCACAGTGTGTAGGATTTTGTCAAATCTTTTAGCCGAAATTGAGATAATCACTAATGACAATAATAAAAAAAACATGTCTAATCATTGCAGAAAAAGACCTTGTTTTATTACTTTTATCTTATAAAAAGCTGTTTATATCTCCATGGTCGCGGGTCGCCAGTACAGGCAGCCACCATCTTGCACCGCCATCTTGTCTACGAAGGCTCATGAAGGACAAACTGCGGTGGCGGYGTCAAAAACGGTTTTAGTTGTAATACTATAAATGTAATATTTGTTGTCTGTCATTGTAGCTGGGATAATTTTACTTATTAAAGCTCATAATCTTACCACTTGAAACATCACTAGCCCTGAAGCTGCTGGTAGACATCGCGGTTGGAATTATCAAAGGTTTTTGACACCTGAGAGACACCGTAGCAACTCCTTTGTGTTTGGAAGCGGGGGTGGGGGTGGGGGGAGGACCAGGGAGGATGATTCAACCACTCAACCACTAGATGTCGCTGAAAACAACAAATCCTACACACTGTGMCTTTAAGCTGACCCAGAATTTAGGAGCATGCACTTAATGCTGTTATTTGACTGTTAATCACTGGAATACACTTTATTTTACTTATTGAATCACAGTTCTTTTCGTCTAGTATTACTTTCTGACCTTACAAAAATCAAAGCAGTATTTGGTGTGACCACTCTTAGATAAAATGTCAAACAGGTACTTTGGCTCATCTTATTCATATGTAGTTTAAAATTAACTGGAACCGATACAGCTGTGTAGGAGGCTTAAAACTGGATGAGGGTGAGCGAAGGGGAGGTTGTGATGTTTTGTTTCACATGTCAATCATTATGTCACAGTTGATCTCAGAAAAAAAGACATTAAACTACATGAGAGAAAAGAGAAATTTCAGAGCAGACTGGGATCTGAAGGCCTTTTGAAGCACAAGGAAATGAATAATATTGAGGACCATAGATGCCACAAATGGAAACTTTGCCATGTTGGAAAGTAGAAGTCCAGCAGTGCCATCAGCTCAGAACTTCACTGTGCAGGCCACAGTGAAGCAYGGTGGATTCCTGCAAACTATGTGATCTGGTCAGATCTCTACTTTGTTGAGCTTTACATTCTGTTATAATGTCATTCCCTCATCAAAAACACACCCAGAGTGTTGCTTCGACTCAGTCATGCATGTTTGAGAAATCCTTGAATCTCCCGAGTTAGCCRTGTGGAGCTGCTACAAAGCACCGCCCGTTTGTACAAAGCTCYTCCCTGGATCTCAATCCCGAGCCGAGTCCCCGCCCCACGGAGCACCCCCTCCCCCTGAAGCATTGTTGTGAAGACGTGCTGAAGTGGGAGKGTCTGAAATGGTAGRAGGTTCTTACAGAGACAGATGCCAATTTCAAGGTGTTTAGATTGATTTATTTTAGATATATACAGCATTTTCATAACTGGAGGTAGGATAGTTGCTTGATTGCAGTATAGAACTGAACTAGTACCTGGAAAATACATAATACCCCCAATTTAAGAACTTTATCAAATGATTTTTATCWATTTGGCTATTTTAGTTCCTTAAACGTGTCTGTACTTAATTGACCTATGCATTTTCTGAGCATTTAAGCTATTTATTTTACACATCGTATTTACTTTTTCTTTAAAGATCGCCAGCTTTGTGAACAAGTCTGCCATGGACACGGCGGTGCTGCAGCGCTCCCTGGCCATCCTAGAGTCCATGGTCCTCAACAGTCAGGATCTTTACCACAAGGTGGCCCAAGAGATCACCATTGGGCAGCTCATCCCACATCTTCAGGGGTGAGCGGACGAATCTGAACGTGTGAAGATTAAATAATGTATGCTGAGTTGTTTCAGAAAGTGAAAACTGTTTGTTTTATTCATCGTAGGACCRATCAGGACATCCAGACTTACACCATCGCTGTCATCAACGCTCTGTTCCTTAAAGCTCCTGAGGAGAAAAGACAGGTGAGGCTGCATTTTAAGGGACCCTCATGTGTGTAAGGATGTATGTTGGAATCATTTTCATTGAAATCCAGCAGTGACATGCATTTTTCTCACCATCAGTCTCTGCTGATGTTCTCATCTCTGACTCTCTCATATGTCAAGCATCGCCTTGTAGCTAATCACATGATCCCTGCGTCAGCACCGCAGGGTCCAGTGATGCGTTTTAACATTAATAATGAATAATGCAAGCCCACAGCTGTCCTSTTCCTGCAGAACACAGAGTTGAAGACATGCTAAAGCAGAATCGAGCTTCACGGCACATTTTCACGTTGCAGTGCCGGTGTTTAACGAGTTTCTGTCGCTCAGGTTAAAGCATGTTGTTTACAGAAACCCATCAGGTGTGGATTTTGATCTTAGAAGCATTTTTATCACCTTTTTTTAGCATATTTCAGGACGTGTGTGATCAAAAAAGCTATTATGATCCCCTGGCCTGTCTTTGTTCTGCTGACTCTGCCACCCGCCCTCCCTCCCCGACACCCACCACAAACTGCAACACTCACAGAAATGATTTTTCAGCCTCCTCCACATCGTTTCTTTTTTTATTTATTTTATTTTTTTTTTATCACATCCACTCACTCTCTGTCTCTGTCTCTGACCTTGTCTCCTCACTGCACACGACACGGTAGTTTGACGAGCACATTGTGGACATCCTTAATTGTCCCCTGACAGTAAGTGCACCCTTGATTAGCACACTTTTTAGTTTGCACCTTAGAAGGCATCAGTTAGTGCATCTAGTTTCCCTTTTTAAGTTTMTTTCTGGGATGGCTTACTTTTGTTTTTTTTTATTTCTACAGCCTGTCGTTGCATACTTCGCAGTATGCCATGGCCGTTTTTTTTTTCCACCCGCTTTTATTTTTTCCACATTACTACAGAAACCCTAGGGACTTTTTTTTTCTTTTGTACATTCTCACTTTTATCCTTTTGTCTTTCTGTTTCTGTTTTTATTCCTCCTCTTTATGACCCCTCTTTCTGCAGGAGATGGCCCACATTCTGGCCCAGAAGCAGCTGCGCTCCATCATTCTTACTGTAAGTATAGCCACACTCGTCTCGTTCGAAACTCTGCTTTTCTGTATTTGTTTGCCTTTAGGTTTCAGCCTCTGCTGCAAGCATTAGTATAGAAAAGGATACATCTTTGATGATTATCATCTACTATCCTCGCCAACTCGCACCTGCTCCCTTTTCTCCCACGTGTTCGTGCTTTGTCATTTATTCCCAGATAAACTTTTTTCATTCATCTTTTTCAAACTTTMAACATATTTGCCTTCGTTTTGCTTTAAACCCCGTCTTTTCTTCGTCTCATGTGTCTTTGTCGTCCTGCAGAACGTGATCCGGAGCAACACGCCCATCAACGATGAGATGGCCCATCAGCTGTACGTCCTGCAGGTACTCACCTTCAACCTGCTGGAGGACCGCATGATGACCAAGATGGATCCTCAGGACCAGGTTGGTGCTTTTGATGTAATCGAATTATAGTCAGGTGAGGTGCAGTTACATTTATTTATTGTTGTATTTGTAACTTTATGTTTTTGTAAATAAGATATTTTTATTGGTTTCTGATCAGCAGTAGTATTTTCGAAGACTTCAGCTGGATCCTACTCACAAAATGAATCATACGGTTCAGATTATTAGGCAGTAAATTCTTGCAGATTTGGCCAAGTAACAGAAATAGTGCTTCACGTTGGCTGTTTGCCACTTTTCCTCAGGCGCTGTCTGATTACATGCAGCTCAGAAGAGGCTGAAGGATTCTTAAATTATATCTTTTTGAAATAAAAAGGAATAGAAGAAGAGGCATCTGGGCTTTATTATTCCTTTCTGTGTGCAGGCTCAGAGGGACATCATCTTTGAGCTGCGGAGAATCGCCTTTGACGTGGAGTGCGAGCCGAACAACAGCGGCAGCATCGAGAAACGGAAGTCCATGTACACCCGCGACTACAAAAAGCTTGGTTTTATTGTAAGTTGTGCTGAGTTACACCAAAAAGTTGGTGCAACAAAACTTTGGAAACATTTGCTTAATAAATGTCTCCAAACTATGTTTTTTTAATTTGCCTTGCCTTAAATATTTAATAAATTGCTGCTGTAGTTTTGTGACTATCGTTGGCTTTAGCCCAGCAGGACTTGRATTTAGCCTCGAGTTACTCCATCCACACAGTCTCTGCTGTGTGTTCTGGAAAKATTAGGCCAGTTGTGCTGCCTCTTCACCACTGTGTGTGGATTAAACCCAATCTGAGAGCCTTTCTGTGTTTGATAGCTCACAGGCTAAAGGTCTACAGTCCCATCACTTCTGATATCATCTTTTTGTTTTTTGATGTTAGTGTTCGGTCAGCTTGAGTAAAATCACATCGTGTGCAATTAATCGTCAGAAAAACTGTCAACAATTAATATTTTGCTCTTTGTAATTAATGCGATGACATGTCTTGTGTGATGCACTCTCACTGTGAGCCCAGTGGCCTTCTGTGTTACTAAAGATCTGCTGCCACTCWATTGGAGAAAAGAYRGGCTTTAATCTGCAGCTCATTATTTGAACCTGTTAAAATGAAGAAGCTCCTGAGAACATGCAAACTCCAGAAAGCCCCCAGGCTGGGAGGTGAACCTGCAACCTTCTCGCTGAGAGAGAGAGAGACAGCTTCAACCACTTAGAAGAAGCATCTTTGATTGCACCTGGCCGCAAAATCCAGATTTAATAACATGGCGTCATACTAATCCATGCCTTGCAACCTTTTTTAACTTTCTATTAATTTTTTTAATATTTTGAGCATTTCATCTATCGGAACAAGCATCTTAGACTTAACAGACCTTGAATAAAGGTCAGAATTAGATCTTGGTTTTGTGTCTGTCTGTCTGTCTGTCTGTCTGTCGAGGTGTGTGTTTCATCTCACTCTGCTTGTTTTTCTCAGAACCATGTCAATCCAGCTGTGGATTTCACCCAGATCCCTCCAGGCATGTTGGCTCTGGATAACATGCTCTACTTTGCCAGACACCACCAAGACGCTTACATCAGGGTGAGCGCACCACAAACACACACGCGCGCACACACACACACTTCAGGGTTATTCCTACGGCGCTGTGTCTCTGCTTATTATCGCCACTTCCCACCAAACCTTTGTCCCTCCAGCTTAGTCACTCTTTTAATTTTTTTTCTGGCTCRTTTGCAGATTTTTCTTGCTCTTTCAGTTAAATTGGATCATAAAAATCTGGACAGCCAAGGCAGAAAAAAAAACATTATATTCTGTTTTATTTTTTATGTAAAAATAAGCCTGATATTTATCTCCTTGATAAGACAAAAATATATCAAACTTAACTTTAAACTAGCTTTGGAAACCTTTATTTCCAAGTTATTTATTTTATTTTATTTATTCACCGTCCCTGCGGCATGAGGAGTTTGTATCGTTTCATGAAGGGTTCAGATAAGACGAGACACTCTGTGTGCACGTTTGAGCAAAAACAATATAGTTTTTATAAAAGTGCAGTGTCACACCTGGACAAAGCAACAAATAAACAGCAGGAAAAAAGCTTTGATAGAAGTCGTGTTTCTGATTTCATCGTGTGCGCTCCTAGATCGTCCTGGAGAACAGCAGCAGAGAAGACAAACACGAGTGTCCGTTCGGCCGCAGCAGCATCGAGCTGACCAAGATGCTCTGTGAGATCCTGAAAGTGGGCGAGCTTCGTAAGTTTTTACTTCGACTCTTCACATCTCAGCTCACCGGTTACATGTTCAGAGTTTATAGCCTGAAGTGAAAATGGATCGTAAATGAGCATCATGTTGTTGTTGTGTGGAGGGCGAATACAAACATCCAGACACAGTTAAAGTACAAATGATTCCAAGAAAACCTAATGCTCCATAATAGAGCTGTAGGGAGTTCATTATAAAGTGCACCTCGTCATCATAGCGGCTTCTCAGCCTCTGGGAAACACACAAAGAAAAATGGCCTCTSTTCACTTCAGATACACGCACTCTTTTCTTTTGTCGTGTTTTAACAGGCGACAGTTTCACTTCCTCTCCAGAATGACCCTTATGCTCCCTGTAGGAAACAAGAAGACATTTTTAGCTGTTCTTTTGAGCTGATGCAGCATTTTCTTCTACTCGTTCCTCTTTTTTCAGTGAATTTATTTATTTTCTGATGTTGTCTTCTATATCAAAAAGTGAAACTTCACTTAAATGCACCGTGTCACAGATTGAATTTAGAAACATGCTGACATATTTATGGCCTGACCTGGAGACGTCTGCTGCAGGAGCAGGTCGTGTCTCCTGCCAGGGTGGAGCCAGAGGGCTGTTCTCTGATTCTACTGTACTGTATAGATTTTCAGCTGTTTTATGTTTAGAAATGACAGAATTATAGCGATTTGTAAAATTAGCATTAGCAACAGGGCACCACCCCTTGCACAAAATAAAGTTTAGCTCCGCCCCTGGTCTCCTGCCTCCTTTTACAATAATTCAACACACCAAGCTTTTTGTTCTTTCAGTCGAATCATTTTGAATACTGAGTGTTTTTTCTGCTTGTTTGGTCTTTACAGAAAGTGTTTTACTTTATTTTCTCTCTCCAGACTGAAGTTGCTTCCATTTCGTTTCTCCTAGAACTCTCATTTTGACCTCATTCTAGTTAAAAAGCAACAAAAGCAAACAAGACTTTTCTGCAGGGAAACGTTTGTATCTCTGAGGCTTTTCTTAGCTTAAACTTTGAAGGCTTTCGCAGAAGAAATAAATCCCACAAAGAATACCAGGCTAATGTTAGAAATAAAACTCTTTTGTTTTTAGAAAGCTAAGCCAAGCATGTGTTTTTGACTCGTTTTATTCTAAATGTATACAGAGGTGATGCAACTAGAGATACAAAATCTGCTCAAGAAGTTGTAAATTGTGTTTTCTTTTCTTCATTAAGACGTTGAAGCTGAAGTTTCCCCTCAGGAGTCGATGCTGCAGCTTAAACACAGCTCTGACCTTGATTTGTTTTTCGGAGACTTCCCCCGTCGGCTGAATGTCGTCCCATTTTCTGCCTCTGCCTGGCGGAGTGAACCTGTCATAAATATTTATGACCGGGTTTAGTGTGTTTACAGGTGTATTTAGAAAATGTGTGAAGAGATAAAAAATAGGTAAGGTGAGCGCATAACCTCTAAAGAATTACAAACATGAGATGCTAAAAAAAAAGGGCACATAAACCTTTTAGAACATGACAGGAATGACTTATTTATAGATGAGGTCATATGTAGGCACTGGATTAAAATGAAAACAAGTGCAGAGGATGAATATTTTGCGAGAAGCCCATGCGTGCAGGAGGAGAGAAAATAAACCATGATTTATTTATGTTTTCTGCATCTCTGATGTTAATCTGTAGCACCATCACCGTCACAGCTTCAGTAAATATTTGCGCTCCCGGAGCATTTTATGCCTCTTATCCATATTGAACGAAGCGGCTTGCGATGAGCTTCAGTGCATTTGCTCATGTGGAGACTTAAGTGGATTTTTATACGCGCCTCATTATCCTTGAGTATATTACCACACACTAATAAATGTTTGAGGAGGATGAATGTAACAAGGGCCACGCAGATCATAATAGCTTATATATATATATATATATATTACCACACACTAATAAATGTTTGAGGAGGATGAATGTAACAAGGGCCACGCAGATCATAATAGCTTATATATATATATATATATATTACCACACACTAATAAATGTTTGAGGAGGATGAATGTAACAAGGGCCACGCAGATCATAATAGCTTATGTGTATGTATGTGTGTGTATATA